ATATTTTTTACTTTTTAATTTTTATATATTTGAATTAGATTAGTTACTAAATAAAAATGACTGCACTTTGACACTTTTTTATATTTAAATGAATTTTCTGAATATATATAAATGTAATTATTTATTTTTTGTTTGTTTAATATATTTAAATATTAACTAAAGTAATTGCTTTAAATTAAAACTTTCAATATTCAGTCTAAACTTAAAAGCTTTTCAAATCGAAGAGGACTATATAATTTGCATTAAAAAACATCACTAGAGCATTTGCTTTACGTTCCATAGTTCTTTTTTTTTAATAGTTTATGCAATAAATTAAATATTAAATAAATTCATAGTAAATAAAACAAGTTAAATAAAGTGTGCATTAATTTTGTATGTGCGTGTGTGTGGGCGTGGCAATGTTGAATGTGTTCTTAAGTTACAAAAATGTTTTTAAATTTGTTTAGTTATTTTCGTATATTTATTTATGAATAAATAAATTTATAACTAAGCAAATTTCACAAAGTGCAAAGTGCTAAAAATATATTTGTATTTTATATTTATATATTTATTGCATTTGGGGAGCCCAGCTTTATGTTTACCGCTAGTTCAATTGTTGTTGTCGTCGTTGTTGCTAAATTATGCTTAATTTCTAGTTAAATTTTTAAATTTTAAGTTGAATTTGCATTAAGAATTGAATTTGCAGTCGGTGTAAATTAGATTTTCTTTAATATTGCTCTTGCTACTTAAACTTAGGACTTTTCGCTCACTTTGCATTAAGACGGCGCACTTAATGATCGATAACTGCCTATCGATACCGATACACAATTCTCACATGTACTAGAGCTATATTAATTACTAAATTTATGTTTTACGCATGAGAATTACACAAAAATAATAATAATAATAAGAAGAAAAAAACAACAATTACTTGAGTAATATTTTAATTCCTTGATAATTGCAGTGGAATTATCATGGCATTTGGCTAGTTGTTCGCCTTACTCAAGCACTTGCATTTTCTTTTTCCCTCTACTGAAGTAATTGTCTCCAATTACAGCTCTGCTACGTTTCATATAGTATTTATATACACCAAAATCTTAGTTGTGCTACCTCACTCACTCACTCTCAGTATATCCGCTGCAGAAAGAGACGCTCGAGATGATGTACCGCGCCCGCTGCTCGCTGCTCGACGAAACTTTTCTCGGCACGCGATGTCGCCTTGGTTTCGACCACATTGTCCGCCTGCTCGTGGCTCTCGTTCAACTTGAGACTCTCAGCATCGGCTTTGGGATCCTGGGCGCCCTGTGCCTGACCAGCGCCGGAGCCAGAGCCGGAGCCCAGTTCGTCTATGTCCACGGCGGGCAGTCGCTGGGCTCGTGGCGTTGTTGGCTCACGCAGCTCCCCTTGGCCGCTGCCCGTGTCCAGCTCGCCGCTGGTCTCGTTCTCCGTCTGCCTGGCACTGATCTTGGCCAGTTCGTTAACGTTCTGTATGCGCGTCTCGGCAGAGCTATCCTCGGCGCTGTACATCAGCGGCACTTGCAGAATGGTGGCCTTTTCCAAATTGGTTGCTGCGCTCAGCCCCCCCCCGGTTGTGGAGCCGAGATAGAATTCAGAGTCGCCGCTGCCGCCGCCACTGCCGGCGCCGCTGCCATTGCCGCTGGCATCCAAGCTGCTCTCCGTGACCAGCTTGGTGCGCTTGTTGTCCAGCTCAAAGGGGCTCACAATGCTGCGCTGCTCATCTTTGGTCTCCGCCTCCACAATCCCCCCCCCCTCGACTAGCGGAAAGTTGACATCACGCAGACTGAAATCGTCCTCGGGCAGCGCCCCCCCCGCGGGATTGGATTCCACCTGCGGCACATCCTCCTCCTCCATGTGATGCACGGGCCCCCCCCTGCTTGAGGCTGGCAGCTCGCTGCTGCTGCTGATGGCCATTAATCCCTCCGTACCCCCCCCCTGCTCGAAGGTTACATTTGAGATGTATGTAGAGCTGTAGTCAGTGGACTGCACCCCCCCCTCTGTGCTCGAGATTGATGTGCGCTCTGTGCTGCTGGGATTGTTGCTGCTGCTCCCCCCCCTGCTGGTGCTGCTGCCGGTGGGTCCTTCTGTGGTGGAGATGATGTGGTAGATGCCCCCCCCGCCCGCCGTGTCTGGCTCTAGTTCCGCTGCATTCTCCACGAGCGCATCTCTGAAGCCATTCTGCAGAAATATGGAGCTCGCTCCGATGGGCACGGCCTCAGCTTTGCTGCCCAGCAGCCCGGCCACGCCCTCTGTGGTATACTCCCGCTTGATGTTCACCTTGCTGGGATCGTTCTCGGCCAGCGGCTGCAAGCTGTCTGAATTGTAGGTGACCAGCGGCTTGTTATGCGAGAGCGGGCGCTCAATGTAGCCGACTGAGGCGATGAGCTTTAAGCTCTCGCTGCCATTGACTGGAAGTGCTTTCGGGTTTGTGTCTTGGCTAGGCGTTGGTGTTGCCGGCGAGTCTGTTGCTGCTGCCGTTGGCATTGCTGCTGCTGTGGTGCTAGCCACCGCTGCTGCTGGTGGTGTTGTTGCTTCACTTGCCGGTATATCTGTTGCTGCTGTTGGGCCATCAGCAACAGCTGCTGCTGCAGGGGGTGTCGCTGCTGCTGCTGTTGTTGTTGTTGTTGTTGTTGTTGCTGCGCTTGTTGCTGCTGTCGGTGCTTCGGTATTGGACGCCTTGCGCGTCGGTATTGTCTGTTTGACCTTGTGATTGTCATCAGTTATGCGTATCTCTGTCGGCTTGGTAATCTCCTTGATGGTTATATTCCAATTGAAACCGGCGGGCGGTGCAGCCGGCGCTGGCTTCGCGGTCGACGGTGCCGCGCTGCTCGATTCACTGGACAGCGGCGGATTGTTGTCAAGAACTGCGGAACAGACAATTCGAAACGGCTGTGAGCAAATGGTCGAGATTAGTTATTATCGGAGTGCTCTACTCACTGGGGCAGTTGTCGTACTCCGGACAGCAGCGGCCGGGCACGTATTTGGGCATGCAATCATCGCGCCGGAAACAGGTCACAGGGCTGCACACAATTTCTCCACCTGTAATGAGATGTTACCATAATTATGCGATTGACTATAAATTGCAGTTGCCTTGAGCGAAATCAAGAAACGGGAAACGGGTTTCCAAGGTACAGAAAAAGTTAAGCTTAAGAAGGAGCGAAATCTGCCTGGCAAATTAGCAGTTGAGAAAGTGAAAAGTTATAGAAGTTGCTTTCAGTAAAATATTCAGATATTTGTATACCCTGAAGCTATATGAAACGGTAAGTCAAGGTATAGTGTTTTTATGAGAATACATGTAACGAGCAGATAGACAAATATTACATATTTCTCTTTAACTTAATAAAAAAAACATCAAAAAGGAATTTCAAGCTATTTATGTAAAAATATTTATATATTAAAAAAATTAAATATTCCCTTATCTCCCATCTTTAATGTGTAAAGGGTATAAAAATATTAAATGATAGTTCACAGTCCTAAAACTTTTTTTTCGTAATAATTGATTATTTTGTATTTAACAAAAATTTTTTGTTATACAATTTTTTTATTTTTATTTTTTTTTTATAAATTCG